TCAGTATCCTGAGATAATGCTTAAAACATCCAATAAATATAAAATCTTTCTTCATACAATTTAAACACATAAAAACAAGGTTCAGAAACTTAGCAATTCACGGACAACGTACGCTGTGTTAAATCTGTCATAAATCAGTGACAATAATAAAACGCTGATCATCCAAGACTAGCCCTAAGGTACAATAAAGCCAAAGCCAACATTAAGTCTCTACTTTCATATAGACATCAAAACAGTATAGCTACTTATTATCCGGTAGGGAGACCCTGTATAACAGAGATGAATCTGTATAGAATGAACACCAAATAACGTTATCAAAGGTCTAATAAGTACTTCACCTTAGTATATGTCTGGAGAGGGAGAGATTCTCAGGTAAAAGAGGGGAGGGAAAGAATGGACATCTTCATTTAGTCCATATGGATTAAGACTGTTGAGCCTGCAAATGCAGTTTGTTTCAGCTGTAATAAGGGCTCATTTCCTATTTATAGTAGAATTCTTTTATGAGATAAGTTGTATCCACATCACTGAGATATGTTTGGGGTTGCTATAATGTACTGCCTGAAAATGTCTAGCCACCGGTGATTTTTTTTATCGTTATGTAGAATTGCAAGTCTATGTTCCCTAAACCTCATTTTCAGTGTTCTACTTGTCTGTCCCACATAGAGTAAGCCACAAGAGCAGGTGAGTATATAAACAACAAAAGATGAATTGCAGGTAATCCTTGAATGAATTGAATATTTCCGATCACTAGACGGGGATCAAATCTTGTCTCGTTATTTTCAGTTTAGTTTGTTGTGAAGTTGACCCACATAGGAGAAATCCATTAGGTACTTGTTAATAGTATCTACCTTTTTTTTCGATAAAAATGGAACACTCACACTTTACAGAACCCTTAAAGAGTGGCTCTGAACTGTAAAGGCATGTCATCCACAATTAGGATAGTTGTGGTGTATCACTGCAACTTTGAATTTTCCAAGTAAAATTCGAACCAGGAACCAAATAGACGATATAAAAGTTGTTTATTCGAAATAGTAGTTAAAACATAAAAAAAATTGCACAATGCGTTTCGACCTTAAAAGAGGTCTTCCTCAGGTGATATCTACCTAACAACTGTCATAACAGGCTTTATATACCCTAAAATTACTTAAACATAACGTATAACAGATGTAGTAATTAAAACACATGATAAAACTTCCTAATATGGTCCGGACCAGATGTAGTCCGCCTCCCCCTATGTGGCGGCTCATCCGGTTTCGGCCAAACAAAGAAGAGAAATCGACACAACTAAAATGTCTGTCCGTCGTGTCATGATGCGGCAAACTCCAATTGATAGTTTCAGGCGTCCGTCTTGTACATGGGCAGTCTTTATATCGGTTCCGACGGCACTCGTTTAATTCCAATTCTCCATAGGTTTATAGAGCATGCGTATTTCAGAGGAGATGTCTCATCCGATAGGCTAGCTTCCAGCCTTATTAACGTGTCCATTTGTCGATATGTGTTCAAGCTAAATAGCTAGCAAAAGTTCATAATGATCTCACATGAACGTTCATAGTGCCCATAGAAGTGAGGAACGCCATATTGGATTTGGCAAAAGTGGAAAAAATAGTGAATAGCAGTATATAACATAATAACAATTAAAAAGTATTTAAAATATATATTCAAATACAAAATAAGCACATATAAAAATATAAACATGTTCACATATAGAATCTTATATAGACATATATGCATATGTACATAACATTTATACACATATATACATAAACATACATGTACTCATATATATAAAAGGACACGTAACAAAACTGTAAATAACCTCTAAAAAAAAAAATCCCAATAAAAATTATAAAATGGTACTTATTTCAAAATCAATATTAAGACCTTTTGGGATTAAAGTAAAAAAAATCAACTTTATTTCTTGTCTGCTAAGCTTCTGTGCAATGTCACCACCTTTCCAGTGTATGTTAACCTTTTCTATATCATGAACCTCCAGAAACACAATGGCTTCGTCAATCATAGTATGTCTAAAAATGTTATGGAGAAACATGGATCAGACCCAAGGTTTCTGGAGTTTCATGCTATAGAAATGGTTAACATACACTGGAGAGCTTGATGAAGCTTGGTTGCTTCATCTATGTGCTGCTTCTAAGTGTGTGGTTGGAGATATTCTGGAGAGTTTTACAGAAGCTTCAACTGTCTACAATTTTGCTAAGAGTTTTCTTTTTTACTGGTACAGGGAAGATTCATCTGTAAGAAAAGGTTACTGATTGCACAAGGTTTGATTTCCTGTTGGTAATTTTTAAGGCATTTGATTAGATTACTTAGGTACTTGCAATTGATTGCTGGTTAATTAGCTATTGTTTGCAAATAATCATAGGCCTACCCAGGTGTTAAACATTCCTAGTGGGTGGTGATTTTAGGAGTTATATAAGGGTTGTTGTCATTAGCTTGGCTGCTTCATCTAAGTGCGGCTTCTAAGTATGTGGTTGGAGATATTCTGGAGAGTGATGCTTCTAAGTGTGTGGTTGGAGATATTCTGGAGATAAACTGAAGGTAATCTGAGGTATTCAGGAGGACAAAAAAAATGTAAGATTTGTTTAATTTAAATTATTCACCTCATTGAAATAGCAGACTTAGTTCAGTGTTCCACTTTTTGGAGATTTGGATGCTGTCTAATCTGTAGACAGTTCTCTATATTGCGGCAGACGATTGTATTTTTGAAGTCTGAGATTTGTAAATTATCTGGTAAACAAACTCTGTCTGGAACTGCTGCAAAGCCACTGCCGCAGAGACGTCCTAGGAATGGCAGATGGATTACTGTAGGATCTGTTAGACTTAGAGTTGTGGATAAAAGGCATATTGCACAGTCTGTTACTCTACATAATTCATTTTCTGCACTTTCAGAGTGTAATGGTGTTATGGAGACAGGCTCAGGTACCGAGGATAGTGGTGTTATGGAGACAGGCACTGAGGGTAGTGGTGTTGTGGAGACAGGCTCAGGCACTGAGGGTAGTGGTGTTGTGGAGACAGGCTTGGAGACTGTGGTGAGGCCTAATAGAAAGCAGTTGTTGTTGGGGGATTCCATCATAAGAGGTGTGGAGATGGACAATGGTGGTCTTGTGAGATGTCTTCCCGGAGCTACAGCTCACAGAGACAGACGTTGTGGCGAAACCAACCTCGCCACTGTGAACTGGAGAAGCCTGGTTGCTCGCCTGCTCCCTTTGGACTATGGCCCTGCAGGTTAAACCGTTTATTTCCCCTGCAGAAAGGCTTATTTGTGTGATCTGAGTGCCATTCATCTAATAATGTGCACTCAGATCCCAGCCATCTGGGGATATGTGAAATGTCTGTGTGTTATGTGTAAATGTGACTTTATGTATTTTAAAGTGTTTTGTGTCTTTTTGCAACCATGTGCTTAATGGAGTCTTGTGTCTGTCCTGGGAGATAATTGAATTACTTATCTCCAGGATAGAAGACTCTGAAACTGGTTTGGGCCAGAAAGCCATGCTTCATTTAGTCACAAAGGACTTTTTACTAACTTTTGAACCCCTTGTCTGATTTGTGCCATTTTTTAATATGTTGTTCCCCTGAATGGATTGATTGTGAATATGTAATTTTATGTGAATGTGATGTATGGTTTTAGAGTTATGAAAGTTGGGTAGAAAGTATGTTTTAACTGTATGTATAATTGAGTTTCCTCTCAGGATAAGGGGAGGGAATATGTGGGATGTAACTGTGATGTGATTGGTTGTTTTGTAACGCCCTGTGGGCTGTACTATGTTTGTGGATTGGGAATAAAAGAGACTGTATGTGACAGTACAGGAGTTCCTGTTTTAACCCTCAAAGTGAAGTGTCGTCTCTTTATTGGGGGAAGGATTTATTGTATGCTGTTCAGTTTGACTGCTAGGAGAGTAAACCTATTCGTATGGTTCCTATTCAACTGTCTACAGCATTCATATGCTTGGGATAATTTATTTGTTTCTCCGGTTCGGTGATTGTGGTGTCTGCCAGAGTGCTTGGAGTCCTCGGGAAGCGCTAGGAGCATCCTTCAACGGAGGTACCCAGTCGGGGTGCCAGGCGATCCGTTACATTGGTGGCAGCGGTGGGATGGCGTCCTAGTGCGAGGTAAAAGCAGCTCAGAGACACAGTTCGTGGATTTACAAATTGAGGGGCAACGCTAAGGTACCCGTGCAAGCGACCTATCTACAAAAGAACTAACTTCAGCAGAGCAAGCATAGTATGACTACACTTCAGGAGGTTGTGTAGAGAGGTTAATGAGGTGCTGTCTACCTTTGGACCCAACCCCAGAGAGCCGTGCAGCTCGCCAGGAAACTAGTAGGAGGAATACCTGCAATCTCTAGTAGATTTGGCCAAAAGGGAGTCCCAGGGAGCTGAAGTTGTGAGTCATGCACTCCCCAGCGGCGTGTGTGTGTCCCAGGGAGCTGAAGGTGCCGTCCTTCCTCCCAGCTGACTGAGTGTGTATCCCAGGAGCTGAGGTGCAGTCCTTCCTCCCCAGCCCGGCAGTGTATATCCCCAGGGGCTGAAGGTGCGTCCTTCCTCCCCAGCCCGGCAGTGTGTACCCCAGGGAGCTGAAGGAGTCGTCCTTCCTCCCCAGCGGCAGATTAAGTCCCAGGGAGCTGAAGGTGCAGTCCTTCCTCCCAGCGGCAGTGTGTATCCCAGGGAGCTGAAGGTGCAGTCCTTCCTCCCCAGCGGCAGTGTGTATCCCAGGGAGCTGAAGGTGCAGTCCTTCCTCCCCAGCGGCAGTGTGTATCCCAGGGAGCTGAAGGTGCAGTGCTTCCTCCCCAGCGGCAGTGTGTACCCCAGGGAG